TAAAAGATCAATATGGGAAGAATTTGGAAATTATAAAAGCTTACATCAAAGAGATCATGGATTTGCTTCATATCTCCGAAGCAAACCCCAGAAAAATTACAAAATTTAGTGCGAAGTTAAATCACAGTGTCCAAGCTTTGGAAACGCTGGGTAAACTGAAAGATGTCCAAAGAAATGTTTCCATGACTCTAGACAAACTCCCAGCCATACGTGGGGACCTTGTTAGAAATGATCCAGAATTGGAAAGTTGGGACTATTCCAAGCTTACTGAAGCAGTCAGACATTTGACCAGGCGAAATGCAGTCTGTGAGAAAGAGTCAGACACACCTGGATGGATATCTAGAAGATCAGTGAAAGTCTTTCATACCAAAGAAAAGGGGGTGTGCGTCTACTGTGAGGGAAATCATAAATCGGGGGAATGTAAAGTAATCAGTACTGTCAATGAGAGAAGAGCAAATTTAGTCAAAAATAAACTTTTTTTCAACTGTACAGCAGGATAGCATCATGCTAACGCTTGCCCCAGCAAGTCATCATGCAGAAATTGCCACAAACGACACTATACGAGCATATGTGATGTCGCCAATCGAGAGGAAACACCAAAAACAGGTCAGATTGTGTTGACTACAGATGAATGTACTGGTGAAGGAATTTTCCCCATTCTTGTTGTCAAGATAAATGGAATTACATGTCGTGCATTGATCGACTCAGGGGCTGGAAGCTCATACATATCTGGTAAACTTGCATCTATGCTGAGGGTGAAACCAATTGAGACACAAACCACTAAAGTTGACATGCTTTTGACTTCAAAAACAACAAGACTGGAAATCTATGAAGGGGAAGTTGAAGCAATAGACAGTGATTATTCACTGAAGGTGAAGTCGATCAAGGTGGAGAAAGAAGAGTTACTCACAGTGAACAATCCACACTATGAAAACGTACAAAGAGAGTTTGAACATCTGAAGAATGCAAAATTTGTTAATAATGATCACAAAGCTCAATTACCTGTCCATATCGTTTTGGGAAGCGGTGAATATGCACGGATAAAAACTCGCGCGAATCCTCTAGTGGGAACTGAGGGGCAACCAATTACAGAAAAAACAAAACTCGGATGGTTTGCTATGAGCCCTGGTGTGGAACCAAACAGAAAAAGGAAGTTGCTTACCCCAATTTCGCAGAAGGATTATGAAGATCTCTGCAGGTTGCATGTGCTGGGCCTAGCAGACACTGCTGAACACGACCAATCAATGGTGTGTAACCATTGAGTTCTATAATAACTGGAGGGGCTAACTTTACTGGGGCGAGGATGCCAAAAAAATGGCGGCCAAAGGACGTATTTCCGCTGAAATGATCGCTTTGCAGAAAAATAATATTCTCGACCTCCCCCTGGTGTCTATAGTAAATTATAAAGAATTTTTCAAAAACAAACACGATATCACAGAATATGGATATCGTTAGTTCCATATTCTGTGACGATTCTTTTTTGGCATTTCTTTTATAATGCGAACACTTCAATCGTTCATTTGTTGATGTCGTAGTTTCCACAAAAAGGAACATATCGCTTCTCACAGGTGAGGCAGTTGTTTGTTTTGTTAGTCCGTCAACGATTGAAAAGCAATTATACATGCACTTGAAAAGCCATAAAATACATATTAAAGGTCGTATTTTTTAAGACTGACTTGAACGCCAAATATACTGATGTTTTCCTGTTTTTGTCTATAAAATTCTGCATACTTTTCTGTCATTTGTTAATGCATGAAATCGTAAATTTACCCATTTATTTGCAAAATAGTTTCCCTAAAGCAAAAAAGACCCTGCACACATTTTTCTCTGCGAGTAAATATCAAAAAGAAATGATCAGCCCCAATGGTACCCATGATTTGGAGCCGAGCTTGTTATGTTCTATTTGCTGACAACATGCAGGGAAGATCAAGGAGTAAAGATGACTGGAAGATGTTATTGACCAGGCAGAGTCTTAAAAAATGATAATGCTGTAAAGATAATTGATTTATTGTCTGCCCTATCCAGAGTTATTTAATTTGATCATGGTCAAATTCTATGGATGGAGATAATGGATTCACTAAGGATGCCTTGAATGCTTTGAAGTTAAAGTTCATGATCCAAAGAAAGATGGGAAGAAGGTTGTGTGTGTTTTGATTCTTAATGAAATGTCAATTCACAAACATGTAAAATGTAAGGCCATAAAGTTTGTGTCTATGTAAACATTTGTACTGAGATTGATGATGACTCGATGCAGATGTGAAGCTTCAAACTGTATAAGCCATTGGGTTTTATGTAACTTAATGTTTAAATCATGTCATATCTTTATCAAAATATTTTAGTCGAGTGTTGTTTGAATGTTACTAATATCTATTGCACTATACTGAAGCATTAAAGATTCAGTGATGAAACCTTTAAAGTTACTGTACTGTATATTTCTTATGTATTTCTTATATTTCTTACCTATTAGAGTACAGAATGGAGATTTATCATATGCATTATTGCTGCTTTTTTAAAGAAAAGTTTTTCACTTTTCAAAGCTTTTCTACAAATTTTTTGCTTCTTATTTCTTATCATGAGATTGATGATATAGAGGTAATATAATACAATAACTTTCTAATTTCTAAAAAGCTTTTAAGCTTCTAGCATAAAAGTACACTATAGGTATGTAATTCATTTGGTTTTATTGCCTTGCTATGACATATCTACTTGCACTTCATCATTCTTGTATGAACAAAACACCAGATGTGGATACTCAGAGAACAAAATGCACTACCAACTGCTTATGAAATTTATTACTGAGGTGAAAAATGTGTTAATCATTCAAATTGTGTACTTATATTGCAAATATAGGAAAAACAAAACAAAGTGAAAAAGAAGGGTAGAAGTATTAAAACTACAAATGAATTATAAACACCATTGGAAGCATAAGTGTTTTGATGATTATTTGCATTTTGCCCAATTCATATATCAATACAACAAAATTAAAATGTGCTACAACTTTACAAATATTTGATGCAGTTGCACTTCAGAACATTACAAAAAGGTTACTTAAAGTAATTTTTATACAATATTGTTTGTTTTCATTTACCAAACCTATGCAGACTTGAGTCGTTTTGAAATTTCATATGAAAGTCAATTACAGAAAATCCATAAATATCCAGAGATTTAATATGTACTTTTTTAAAGAAACAAGTAAAAATCCTACAATTGTGGCGAAAAAAGCCATTGCCCATTGCATGAAAAGAAGCAAAATAGCAATGATAACAATTAAGCTAACTTCTCTCTCGTGAACCGTGGAGATCAACTATGATATACTTTTTTGTATAGACTAAAGAGTTTAATCGATCAAACAAGATTGACGCTGGTAAGAAAACGACGCACATCTGCATTCATACATGTGCAGCCGATATATAGGTCTTTCGTCGATAGTTATAAATGCATCCTCGTAGCAGCAGATAACTGACAACCACAGTTGACTCGCTGTTATGAATTTAAGGTTTTTACCTTGATTTTCAACAAAAAATTGCTTGCCGAATCCCAAATACACACATACATTTTCCTCACTCTTTTCTCAGGAGGGAGTGGGAAATTGTGAAATTTTCGGAAAAGCGGTCAATTTCGGTAAATCTCAGCGGCAAAGGACGAAATCTGCCATTTTTTTGGCATCATCAGATATCTAAGGCCGCGCTTGAGATAGCCGCTGCAGTTATTATAGAACTCAATGTGTGTAACGAATTCAAAGAGCAATTAACCCAATCACCGGAGGGCTGGTACGAGACCGGTCTTCCATGGCGCGGAACTCATCCACCTCTCCCATCGAACAAAACAGGAAGCATCAGAAGGTTGAAATCTTTAGAGCGACGATTATAGCGAAAGCAATTAACTGAAGATTACAACGCAGTAATCCAAGACCAAAAGCACAATGGCATAGTTGAACCAGCAACTAACGTAGCAAAAGGTAATGAAATCTACATACGTCACAAAGAAGTCGTACGCGAGTCAGCGCAGTCCACTAAACTGAGAGTGGTGTACGGTTCATCAGCCAAAGCTTCACCAGAAACTCCTTCTTTAAGCGAATGCCTGTATGCGGGACCTACGCTAAATAACAAGCTGTGGGAAGTGCTGGTAAGAGCGCGTAGTTTTCCTGTTACAATCACTGGGAATATTCAAAAGGCATTTCTCCAAATTCGTGTACGCGAAAGTGAACGGGATTCTTTAAGATTTTACTGGCGACCAAATCCACAGGCTGATGTAGAAGTACTACTGTTCACGAGAGTATTGTTTGGATTGGTTTCTTCTCCATTCCTACTTGGGGGAGCTCTCGAAACGCATTTGAATCACTGGAAAAGCAAAGCTCCAGATGGTGATTATAAACAATTCGTGTCGAATCGAGTGGCAAAAATCCGAGCTTCTAATGAGATCGTGTGTCATCATGTGCCAACAACCGACAAATCCGGCCGACCTCGGAAGCAGAGGTGGCAAACTGACCGAGATGTGGATGAAAGGTCCTGCCAGGCTATCAGAGCATAGTCTTTGGCCACCAGATCTTACAGTCAAACCGTGGATTGACTCCCAAAGTGAAGCAAAGGCGACGAGAGTAGTTTTGAGCTCGGCTATCCAGCGGTCAGACTTTGCAATATTCAGTGATGTTTTTGAAACACATCCATTGCGGAAGGCGGATTCGTATTGGGGCGTGAGTGAAACGATTTATTGACAATGCTCGACAAAACAGCGATGATAGAAGGCACGGGCCACTGACATCTGAAGAAGTGGAAGAGCAACACATATCATGGATAAAAAGGTACAAGCCGGAGTCGCAGAAAACCCAAAGTCTGAAACGGATCTAATTCAGTTAAATGTACAACCCGACAATGACAAGATTTAAGATGTCACGGTCGGATAAAAGGAGAGTTCCCTATTTACTTGCCTGATGACGCTCTATTCACCATGAAGTTAGTGGAAGATGCACACTTGGAAACACTCCATAGGAGAGTTATACGATGTCAAAAGTCCGAGAAAAGTATTGGGTTCCTCGGCTTCGTCGACTAGTCAAAGAGCAAAGGAAGCGATGCTACAGATGCAAGAGATTCACGATCAAACCGTATCAATCTTTGATACCTGCTCCTTTACCAAAGACTCGAACAGAAGGAACCACTCCGTATAAAGTCATTAATGTCGATTTCGCCGGTCCGATTAAGTATAAAGTTAAGAAAAATCAAGAAGGAAAAGCCTGTCTAGTGCTCTTTTCCTGTAGTTTGACGCGAGGAGTCTATCTTGAATTGTTGAAGAGTCTTGAGACAACTTCGTTCCTGCAAAGTCTAAAACGGCTCATAGCAAGGCGAGGTCGTCCTTCGCTGATCTATTCGGACAATGCGAAAACGTTCTAAGCTGCAGCGGCATGGTTAAAGAGAGCAATGCAAGACGAGAGTTTTCACAGCGAGCTCAGTAAACATAGCATTAAATGGAGATTCAATCTGTCCCGTGCACTTTGGTGGGGAGGTCAGTTTGAGCGATTGATCGGTGTATATAATCATCATTTTACAAAGTCGTTGTTAAAGGACTTCTGAAATTCGATGAACTGGCAGAAGTTGTTCTGGACGTAGAAATTTGTATGAATAATCGACCACTGAGCTATGTAGAGGATGATGTTGAACTCCCCGTACTGACGCCATCTTCGTTCGTACTGCAACAGACGAATGTCATCCCTGAAGTGGAGAGTCGTCACATTAAGGACGGTGAACTATGGAAGCGAGCAATGTATTTGTACAAAATCAAAACCCAATTTTGGAACAGATGGCAGCGAGAATATTTAACAAGTCTACGCCAAAGCAATCTAGTTAACAAATCAGCAACCGAATCTCATCCGAAAGAGGGAGATATCGTTTTAATTAAGGGTGATAACAAAAACAGAAATATGTGGAAGATCGGAAAGGTAACGATGTTGATCCGTGGAAGGGATGGAGTTATGAGAGGAGTCAAACTTCAGTGTGGAAAATTATCTCTTGAGAGGCCAATCCGACTGATCTATCCTTTTGAATTACAATACGACGTCAGCAACCATCAAAAGAAGTTGCGAGTGAACGCCAAAGAATTCAGACCAAGACGATAAGCTGCTGTGGTTGCGGAGGCGATAAATTAGGAGCTAATGGAACAGGAATGAAATAAACTTCGAGACAAAGTGAAATAACATGTGACTCATTCGTAGTCACATGTGGTGGAGGGTGTTGCAAATTATGTTAAAGTTGTGTTGCGTTCAATTGTACATTCGGGTACGTTGGGGACGACAAGGAACAATATAGAAAACATGGGTGGAACGGAAGTAGAGAGAGCAGAGAACGGAAGTGAGAGGGGCGAGACAAGGGAGAGAAGCGAGATACTTTTTAGGAGCAAGAATAAAAATTGTTTACGAAACGCAAAGTTGTGATTGTGATATTCTTCGTGTTCTGAAGACATTGGGACGGAGGTCAAGTTTTCGGAATAAGCCCGATACTTGTCAGTGACATGTCGAAAGGAAATACGTCTGAATAAGCAGGAAATAAAAAAACTTAGTTTCAGATGGACTCAAGAATAAATTCAAGGTGATATTTCTTACAATTGCAAGTTTCCTTAAATTTTCACAAAAAAAAACACAATCTAAGGCTTGAAAACTATAGACAATACTATTTTAATGACATTAAAGAAAGTGCAACTATTTTTCTAATCAATAATATTCTTCATTGAGTTATCACCATGCAGTAATAAACACTCAATCATTTCAAAACAGAATAAAAGAGTCTGCTTGCAATGTTTGTTGATTAAACACCAATTAACCTCTGCATCAACCTAAATGAGTTACGCCACTGGTATAAGCAGAACGAACGGTTGGTACATTTATGTCTCTGAAACGTGACGTTTCCTTGTTGTTTACTGCATATTTTAGGCCTGGAATAAGCAGACTGGTATAAGCAGAACGAACGGTTGGTACATTTAATACAAATTGCCTGTAAAAGGTAACTATAGAAGAGGGTAAAGCAGCTTTATCAGGGTGAGTGCTTTATAATATCGATCAACACTTCACTCTTGATAGGAAAATAAATTATTAGAGATGCTACATGAACTATTGTCTTTATTGTAATGTCCTTGGCAGTGACATAATTTTTCTAGGAGATATAGACGTATTCTATGAGTTCGCCTTTTCTGACGAACCTATTTGCGATTTTATATTCCATGGTGAAAATATAATGACGACTTAGTGGATGAACTGAAAATATTTAATTTCGATTTTAATTTTAGATGTTTTTGCTTCTTTTTCCCCATTTACACATTTTACGTATCTCATTTTCCGCATTATATTCCTTTTCCGCCATTCCGTTCTGCATTTTATACCTGCCCCTTTAATCGAATGAAAACAAACGTTTTAGACAAGCAATCTGCATTTTATTCTTTTTGTCCGCAATCCGCATTTTATTCTTTTGTCCGTCCGTCGGTACGCATCCGCATTTTATCTGCATTTTATCCGTCCACCGTATCTGCATTTTGATATGTTGTTCATTCAACAGATAAATAAACACACACCTTACTACCATTTGCGTTCAAGCGTTGTGTGCGAGAAATTTTTCACTGTGTTTCCATGTCTGAAACGTGACGTTTCCTTGTTGTTTACTGCATGTTTTAGGCCTGGAATTTGCACCCTTTAAAGAAAATATGTTAACGTTTGACAAGCCCATTAAACACGTTTTCCTTGGAAAAACAACATCTTTGCATGTTTGTGTAACACGTTTATTTTCTGCTTATACATTTTTTAACAACAATGTCCATCCGTATAAAATTTGCATGGAGTTTGACTAGTTATTGCAGCTATAATGCAGATTAATCGCGAAGGTCGTTCATTTAAAAGCCTGGTGTCGCACTGTTTAGCGACATGAAATTAAAGATAATCGGTAAAATTTCGATTTCGATCTTCCCGGAGCCGACAGAATCCCGCAGTTCGTTCCTTTAGACACATACACTGCTGTCTTCCAGGCTGTAAAGTGTGTTCGACCTGGTTCAACCACAGTGAAGAAAGTGTGGACGTAGCAGAAAAGAGAAAGATTTTCCTATATTTTCTGTCAACGTTACTTATGAACCTCTGCGTTGCTTCCCACATGGTCTTATCTCATCATGAATTCGTACACACACTCTAAAAATCTCATCAGAATTCGGTACTGCTGTTAAACAGCGTATACCGTCTTGTAGGTCAGATTCGTCCCTCATGTTACAAAGGTATTTTCATCGTCTCTGTATTGCAGTCGCCTGTTTTTTGGTGTCAACTCCGTTCATAACTTTAAAACTGTCTCAGCGATCATTTGTATGTAAATTTAAACAAGTCAATTTATTTTTTGGATTGAATGAACCTTTTCTCCATAATAAATTTTCTCTACGAATGGTCATTGTCTCCAAAAAGTGTAAAAGTAGAAAATAACGTGTTACACAAACATGCAAAGACATTGTTTTTCCATAGAAAATTTGTTTAATGGGTTTGTCCAACGTTGACATATTTTCTTTATAAGGTGCGAATTCCACGACTAAAACATGCCGTAAACGACAAGGAAACGCCACGTTTCAGATACAGAAATATCGTGAAAAATTTCTCGCACTCAGCGCTTCAACGCGAATGTTAAACGACACTTGTTACTTTTCCATAAAATTTTTCATAAAATTTTATGAAAAATTAAAGTTTTGTGTCAATTACAAATACTGTTGAAGCTCTTAACGTTTGAGAGCTTTACACATTACAAGTGACCAATGCAAACATTTCGGATTTCATTGTGCGAAGAGTTAAGAAAACGTCAAAAATAACAAACCCATAAACGCATGATGCGAGTCTAGCCATGGACAGCGAATACAATGAAATACTAGCTACTTGCGATGACTCCACGTTCAAAGATTAAAAATCATTCAATTGTAGTCGGCACAGACAGAATCATCGGCAATAAGCAGACATTCCAATCTCTAAGTTCTCAAACCGGTGCACACCCCTACTTAAAGTGCTACTGAAGTGAAATTTTCATATTTCGTTTTTCGATACAAACGTTTTCTCTGTATTTTACTGATCATTTTGAGCTATCGCCCACTGAATTTAGTCGATGGGAACGCATCGAACTTTGCGTTCAAACATGGCATATTTGCTTGTTTTGATGCGAATTTGACTTTGAGTGCGTGACGTCATTTAAAGGACGGAAGTTCAATTTTAAAGCTCTCAGTATATAAAAATTATATACGAACAAGCATATTTCCAACTGGAATTTTACATATTTTATAACTTCTCTTCGCAAAAATTGCGTATATTTAGTGACAAATGAGCAACACGCATAGGTAAGCAACATTTACAATCGATTAGAGTTTTATAAACTTCTTGAATTAACTTATATTTCTCAATAAACTGGGTGCCGCATCCTTGACGAAGTCTGCGGTTTTAACACACACGCAATGTTATCAGAAACTAACTGTAACGCGCGTATTTCCAATCATCCAATGTATACTACTTTTATAAACTTCTGGATTAGACTTATCATTCTTATCATATGGGTGTCGCATCCTTGACGTAGTCTGTGGTTTTAAAACCCATGCAATATTATCACAACGCACATAATATAAGGAGAATATTTTTTATTAAGTTAGTCAAACGTAACGATACACCGCAAGTTAAAATATGGCGAGTAGGCAAAATTCTGCAAAAAATCGTCGAGGAGGACAATATTGTGTTGCTGGTTGGCCCAACGGAAAAAGTTGTACAAACAGTCAACACACAGAGGGTGCCTCAGTACATCGTTTCCCATGAATGACAAGGAGAGGCTGAGTAAATGGACAGAATTTGTTAGGAAGATTTGTTAGATTCGAAGGTTTTCATTCAACATTAAATGGTTGGCATCCAAAGATGACCCACTTTTCTTGGCTTGGTACATATTGCAGGTAACTTGTAATCACTGTTCTCTATCTGCCAAGGCTTTTTTACTTGTTCCTAGTAAAGAAAAAAAATTACATAGTAAATGGTTTGTTCTGTTTAGGCACGTACTGGCAGTACTTCATTTCAATGAAAACCTTCACAGACAGCCAAAAAAAACAAAAAATGGAACACCATATTATTCTGTGACATACCCAAAATTTAAATCAGGGGATGAAGTAGTAAGAACTGTTTCTTCAGCACCATCATATTGTAAGTTTAGCATGTATGCATTGGTACTCTTGACTTACACATCTAACCACTTGTCATTTTTCCAGACTATGTTAATGAAATCAAAAATGTCATGGTTCTTAGTTGTGAGGAATCCATGGACAACATATTTAAGAAGTATAAGGAAAAAGTCCCAGAAGCCTTAAACAAAACGTTCTTGGATCGAATTTCCAAAACTGAGGCAATCCAACGGCATTTGGATAGGAAACAACTATCTTCAACACCATTGTTTCCCACATGTAAGTTGTTCATGCTACCATGTATAATAGGTATGGCCAGTGCATTCTAAAAGTAAACACATTAAATTGTTATTTATAGATCAACAGCAAGATGTACTGCAAGCAAAAGGTTTAGACAAAGAAAAACAAGCTGCTTCAACAGGTCCTTCAGATCCAAAAACGCGCTTATGCAAAAATTGTGGACAGCCAATGAAAGGACATCCAAAAAGTCATTGTCCACAAGAATTACTTGACAAATATTCTTAGCAGGCCAACTTTAAAGTTAGTTATAAAATAATATACTATGCTACAAAAAATGTTTTCTACTTCTATCAGTTTCTTTCCTGTGCTGACTTGTAGCCAGCATGTTCTTGGCCTAGGGGATTTCGTAATGGAAATCGTTTTCGGATGTCTGTGTAGATACATGCAGGTAATGGTCTAGAATTTTCCCAACCAAGGCATCCACATAGCCATCGAATGACCCAACGGTATGCAACTGCTCTCAAGTATCTATGAGAAATTCAAAATAGTAATTTCTATTTGATTATTTATTTTGACTTCACACAACAAAATTGTGAAGCATCACAGCACAATAATGAACCACATAAAGGTAAAAGTAGAGATACATGGCAAGATATTAATCATTCGTTACAAAACAAAATTAGAAATCAAAATGTACTAACTCATTTTCATGTATTCTACGACGCTTGTATGACCTTCCATCTTGGTCTCTTAGAAGTGAGCCAACATTCTTCAAGACTGTAGCATGTGTCATAATCGTGTACTCTTCGTGAAGAGTAACACAGCTAATTTTTTCAATGCTACCATCGAATACCAGTTTATGTAAAGTAGGCCCAACCTCTTGACAACAACGGTATTCAATGGCATCTGTCAGCAGTTGAGTACGACACAAGCTACATGCACACCTATAAAAAAGTGGTTTGTTATCATATTTATGCACCACGACATAAGGACAAAATAACATGTTTAATTCATGGTTTAATTTCTTCTAGAGTTCTAATAACATTTATCAACTTACCACTTATCTAACTGAACGGTTCCTTCGAACCTCGCTTCCAACATTCGAGGTTCTAAGCCGTCTGCGTCTTCTTCGACCGACACAAAATCTCTCCGACTGCGTTCGCAAGAGGTTCATTTTCGTAAGGATTTACAACTGAATTAGCCACAATTGTATCCTCATCGCCGGAATTCGAAAGTAAATTTTCATTTGCCATATTTGAGTTTTCAGTATCCGAACTGCGCTCGCTTTCACTGCTTGAAGAACTCATATTTTATTGTGTATATGTGTTAAAAATCTAACAAAATACTAGTAAATCAATGCTCATACTTCGACTTCCGTCCTTTTAATTACGTCACATCCGTATAATATTTCAGTAGTAAAAATTCGCACGCGTAACCCAACTTTGAGCAAAAATTTATTGATGATCCCGTGCTTCAATATGCATAAAAATTATACCAAAGTAATCAGGAAAGATAGAACTATTTGATTATAGAAAAAAATCAGTAGCACTTTAACAAACAAATGCCTCTCTAGAGGGTATAAATGCTGTTCCTTTATCGCTGATGCTCTGTTTATTTGGGATAGCGTGAATATTGGCTAGATTCAATTCGAATTAAAAAAAAATTCAGAGCAGATGCTAGAAAAACTGTATAGTTTTCAAACACTAAAGTTAAATACAAAATCATCAATATAATATCACATATATTCACGTGAATAACATTAAATATCGACGAACTCAATTCCTTACTATGTTTTGAACAAAGTATATTTGTTACAATAACTTAATTTTGAAAAATACAAGCATTGAATACTCGGAGAAAACGGGACAATAAAATGAAAATCGGGACACCGGGACAACATAGTTCAAATTGGGACCTTTGGAATGTTTGTAAGGTCCTTTCAAAATGTTATTAATAATCGTAGAGGCTACAAAACTACAGTAATACATTGTCTGATTCTACGTATGTAAACATAAAACAGCGTTCGATTTGTCGGTTCAATGAACGAAGCATTGAACATATTTTACTAATTCTTGAAGATATAATTCTCATCTCAAAAAATTTTTTTCATTCAAAATGGCAATGAATCCATCTTTAAAATTTATAAATCAAATACATAAGATGTAAAGCACGGGAGATATTTAGGCCGGAAGTTGACCGTCTGCTCTCAGAGCGCGTGATTTCGTTTCTTCCGAGCAAAGGAGCACACTTATCCCATATAAGGTATGGTTGAGATAGCCGCTATAGTTTTCATAGAAGTCAATTGCTGTGCGTGGCAGCAGTGAAGACTTGATGGCACTTTTACAAGTACACAAAAAAACTTTAATCATATATTGAATCAAAATAGCAGACTATAAATGTTGACGACTTGTGAGAGGGGGTGGGGGGGGGGGTGGATTGCTAAAGGGCAAATGTTGACGTTCATATATTTCTTTGTATTTTAATGTGTTGAAGGTGTTTACAATGTAAACTAATTTGAGTGAAAACCATCTTCGCAATAAATACAGCTGTGAAAAATCTTGTAACTTGCACTTGAATTTAATAGCAGATTTTGTCGTCCAGCACTGACAGTGCCCGTAGCAATTTAAGATGAAAATTATTTATAAACCTGACCTAATATTGCTTTTCTTACTTACTTTAATAACCTTCCCTTCACACAGGGGAAGGCTTATGGATGTGGGCAAAACGTTTTTTAAATCAAACTATGGACGTGGTACAAATAAACTAAACAAATGAACTTACCTTATACGCTACAGTACTGGTAAATGGTAAATAGAACGTTCAGCTTGCTTCCTCAACGTAAATGACACACTCAGATGACTTTCTCATTTATAATGATTTATATCCGTAAGCAGTGTTTCCACAATGCCCCGATGATTTTTAATAAAGACTTCATTGAATTGAATATAGAACAGAAAACAATGATCTCGTATGTAAACGCTGCTCATTATATTTAGTTATTATTGTTGACTTCTGCAAGCAAAAATTGAGGTTTTTTACAATACAAAATACTGTGATAAAATGATACAGCACTACCCCTTCAAATACGACGAAAAATTAATTTTCCTTACCATGTTTTTTGAATTAAAATTTCCTTATCACAGGAAGTCATTTTTCATGTAAAACCTGCCAAACTGGTCTGTTTCCATCCCAGTAAACAAGACAAACACAACGGGTTATTAATGTATTATTGTGAGTTCCGTCACTGTTTGTTGTATCCTGTCGAGCTGCTCCAATGTAATAAATTTAATAACTCATTATTTAATGAAAAATAGTTGTATACATTTAGAGACGATTTCTAACGAATAACAAGCGTCCATACCAAGAAAAATATAGAACAAGTATATAATTGTATATGCCATTTGCGCTGGCTGCATGCACACACTAAAGTATCTCAGGCAATTCTCTATAGTCTAACCCTAATCATAGCCGTAATCTAAGACTTTAGTCGTTTTTGTGATAGACTATTTTCTTATCGTATGTAAAAGCCTGCCTTGCTTCGTGTTTACGTCAGAAGTTAGCAGACACGTTGGCTGAAATAATTACTGAATCGCGGCATCTGTTAATAAAAATGGAAAATTTTTAAAAAGACCCCTATCACAAGGCTATTACATACTTACTCGGGCTATTCTAGTGGGCCACTCGAAGACAGAGTTTGATTTTATTTGCGTATTATCATAGTTGCCCAATAGCACAACAAACTTTACGTCACATGCGCCAATATATTATGTAAATTATGTTTCATTTTACGCTGAAAGACAAATATCTAACATGTTTGATAATTTTAGTTTAGAGAGTGCGCCACAAATTTCAACTTGAGGGAGGCTACGATTTAAATTTACTAATTTGTCTACGTATAAATTTTTTAATGTATTTCCGCCTTAATAGTGTAGCTGAGCAAATTGATAGTACAGAAAACTGATTCACTGAAGCATGCACAAGCACACACAAAACTCAAATTAAGTCGCTCATAACACATATATTTTTAAGTAAAAAATATTCATAATTATTTTCTAAATTTTGGAATACATTGTGCTCCTTGTGAATTTGAAAGCGCTACTAAATTTCATTGTGATGAGCATATTTCAAACATTCGATTTTTTTATGAAAATGCAACCTAAAACTAAATCATTCTGAAAAATTGCAATTTTGCAAGAAACTATTCATTTTTTTTCTGATTCTTCACACCTTCTTTCTTCTTCAATATCCCTCGGTTAATATTCATTGGGTCTATAAGGTCTTGGTACTCAGTCTTCCCCTGAATAGCAAGATCAGCTAGTATCTTTCCAAACATTGGCACAAATTTCATAGCCCAACCGCCGGTAAAAAGGACGATACGTTTTAGATCAGGTTTCAGAAAGTCCAATACGAATCCTGCACTTTTGTCAATTGGTTTACTTTCGACTAGCTCAGCAAAACCAGCCAGACAAACTGTATCATGTTCTTTCTTTCGTTCTTGATTCAAGTCAGGCATAGCTTCTTCTACGAACTTACTGGTGAAATTCAAAGCATGTTCATCCAGTGGTCTTTCGCAAATTGAGGGAGGATAATCGTAAAAGATAAACTGTGTTTCTGATGTGAACGCTGGACAAACTCTTATATTCTCTGAGTTATCAGGTTCACAGGGAAAACCATAATAGTCTTTGTAATCTGTCGGTTTTTCAGCATCCTTTTTATCGGGATTTGGACCAAAGAAATACCAAACTGGCCAATTTGTTGGATCATTCCCCGAAGGGCAGTCCAGTTTCTTGGTGAAGTATGTGGAGCACCAGATGTAAATAGCTAGGTTAATTTCGTATTCAAATGGAGGGAAGATGATGTTCAGTAAGTCATTTACATAGATACCTGGTGTAAGAATGATCTTTGTACAGCGAAATCTCCTTTCGGTGTTTTGGACGGTGGCCCACACTTCCACATAATTGTCGTTGGTGTAATCTATTTTAGTAATCTGTGCTCGCTTATGAAGTGTGGCAAATTTTGATTTATTTAAAGCCTCTACGTAGCAATTAACTACACTTGGAACATTGATGGTTCCACCTTTCGTGGTAAACAGACCTTTTGCTTTCTCGATGTTCTTTACGGCACTTGAGACGAATTTAAATTGCGGATCATTTATAATCACATGTTTCCCATCTAGCACTCTATAGTCACATGGAACCTTGAGATTAAGTTTTTCAAGATTTTCTATTGCTTCATCTATATTTCCTTCGCTTGTCTTAGCGTTGGAATCACCAAACCAAAAGCAACCAGTTTCTTGCAAGAGTGTCATGTTGTCCATATCTTTCATAAGGTCTTGCCACATGTCGTATGTTTTGAGAGCCAATTCGCAAATATTCATTTCAGAATAACAGTAGCGAAATTGACGGCTGTACCCAGGACTTGAACCATAAGCATTGGCAAATTCGTCAAACTTCTCTAGAAGAACAACACGTTTATCTTGTTTAACAGCACATTGGTAAGCTGCTGCTAGACCTATTGGACCTCCACCAATTACAATTACGTCAAACTGATTTATCATGTCCATTTTGCCTTTTTAATAGTTGTGTACTGTAACATATACAAATAAAACCGTGTTTCGTGTTTCCCAAATAAAGAGCAAATATCTTGGATGACCCGTTGTATACGCTATTTGCATTCACGTTCTTGTATTTTGTAAGAATTAAAACATCCGTTGACGTGGGTGGCACTCCTAAGTTTCAAATACAATCGTTCGTGCATAAAACGGATGTTCTAATCCTTGAAAAATACATAAACATGAATGAGTGTAGATAAAAAGCGAGAACGGATGGCGGACGCGGACAGTGGAGATGTAGGACAGCGGAAGGCAGAGGAAACCGAAAATGCGAAAAATAAAATGTTTTTAGTTCGTTATTAAAGTGCAGCTCGCGCATAATTTGACCCCCCTCATTTTCTCCGCCAAATACAAAGTACACATTAAAAGAAACTCTGGTGTTTATTTGAGCATTTTCTGTTAAGTATAACCTATCTAAATCCTACGCCAAAGATCGGCACCGGATGCAAATTCTTACAAATGGTGACGTCATAAGATGTACACGACTCTCTTGTGTAATATGGCTTTATATACAAATTGCAAGACCAACGGCCTTTTTATCAAGTTCCGTGCCAAAAAATGGGTTACAATCCACAAAATTTTTTTAGAAAGTTTATCAACCAGACTGCCTGACACGGATGACAGCCATGTTGATGTAATGTTGAATTGTGAGGCTTGCGGCTCGATCTCTTTCGATTGTGTGCCAAACATGGATAATTTTGGTTTTGAAAACTAGCACTAAGTACAACCTGAGGAAAATGCCATCGGGAAATTTTGAGTATTAACGAAACAATCATAAAAATGTCATATTACTGTGACGATTTGGCCAGAGACAGTCAGCATTCCGATACTAGGTTTTTCAAACCTTGACCCAGTAAGTGAATCAACGGGTAAAGACAAATTCTACATATCGAATGCTGAAAGTTATTGTATTTGAGTGCCACATTGGATTGAGTGAACACCAATGGTAACTAAGAGAATCGGCATGTGTGTTTATGTAATTTTTAAGATTATATATGGATGAAATATTAAACACAAAGCACAATTGCCAATGCTTTAGCCGAATAAAGGTCTCAGTGTTTATTTTTGAACAATACAAGCTTATTCCATAAAATACTTGGAAAAACAATTTCATCACAAAATTGCTTAAGGCCAACCATGTGTTTATACATGCTCTCATACATAATTGAAGCATTGATATATAATTTCATCACAACAAGATTGGCACTGTTGTTCATGATAAATATGGAAGGCAATGAGACAGGTACTTGAAGGGCAGCAGGAATCTAAGTAACACCCAAAAAATTAAAAAATTAACCATAGAATTTGAAAACATCAATGAGATGGCAAGTGGAACATCTCCTTGTCAAGCAAATAGCCACAATCAAAGTAATCCTGAAGCCACAATCCAAGTTCTATACGTCTATGGGACTGGAATACAATATATTTCTTAAGCATTGGCAATGAAGCACAGTTAAATGATGTACATGTACCCAGGGTGGAGAACTTAGAATGTATAATCGATTGCCCAATTTGAATCTCCTGTCATGTGGAGGGAATGTGTCTCACATAGACAACAGAAATTTTCTAAAAAGCAAAAATTAACCATACAAGTTGAAAGCATGTTGAAGCAGAAAAAAGTACAACAATATGATGGAAAATGGAAACAACACCTTTTCAATCTAAGAGCACTGTTAGAGAAATATAGCAACAACAATTCAAATTCTATGTTATACTTATACACACAACCCCAAAAGGAGTTATTTGAATAAGCGAATAATAATTTTATTGCTTCCGCGGGTTATTTTGTAATTTAAATTGTAAATAAGAGTTATGTTAATCAAGGGGAAACAAAGAGAGGGTGGGACACACTCTTAACATATAAAAAAGTACTTGGAAAGTTTGTTACTTTTACTTAAAGAATTCCGCGTGCTAAGGTCATGGAGTCCAAGGTTCATTGCGGACTCTACAAGAGCAAACAGGATGTTGGCTACAGTTATTTGCATTTTGTTCACATACACAAAAAGTCTCAAAAATCTCAAACAGGGAAGAATAGAAAAGAAGAAAACTGGCTAATTGTACACAGCAGTTTCTTTCTTAATGTTATATAAAAAATTATTATTCCCATTTATCGATGAACAATTGAACTTGATAATTGTGCACTTTACCTGATAGAATTTGTAATGATATCATCGTCCAAATAATTTATCCCGACTTGATTCTTCAAAAGAAGAGTAGTCCATTGACGAAGGTTCATCAAAATCATCTTAATCCTCTTCTACCATACAATCACCTACAATACTTTGTCCATTCTACCTGCAGATGGAGCATCCAAAAGTGCCTTCTGCTTTGCCTAAAGCTTTTGAATTGGCTTCTGCAATGTTGCGCTGGTTTTCTTCATTTGGCTGACAGTTTTTCAGAGAGAGCTGTTTTTTGAAATGGCTGCATGATGTACAATGGGCAGACCAGCTTTTCCTTGTTGTTTTTTTCGCTTCGGAATTTTGTTTTTCTACAGCCATAGCCTCCAAAGGCTCACAGTCCAACAGGGCAGATCTAGGATTTTTCAAACATCAGTCATGGAAGGCCAGAGGCATTCCCCACCTGGCGGTGAGTCCGGGGGACATACTCTCTTGGAAAATTTTGAATTTCAAAAGGTAGGAAATGCCTTTTCCAAAATTTCAAAGACAACCAAATCAAATAAAACGTTCTCCCAAATGTGAGAGATGCCGAAATCACGGAAAAATCTTTAACCTTAAACGACATAAAACAGACTGTTATCGTAAAGATTTCAAGTGTTAATTATGTATGGATACTGTTGAAGAAAGTCGTCACACGGCTGCAAGAGTCGTGTGCAAGAGCACACATCACTACGATAAACAAAATCTTTTAAAAAATATTTGTGTGAAAAATGAGCTGACTCACCTCAATGGCGTTGTTGAGAAAAATGAAGCATGTGTTAGAAACATAGTTACAACATAATGTAGGGTCAAGACAAAAGTTTATATTCCAGAATGAGAAATAATTCATTCAAAAATCATACGAAAGTTATTTGCGTTGTTCTTTCTTTTATTGGCGTTACCTGTTCTGAACAAATGCCACCGCAATAGAAAATTACCATTTTTCACTTCTATAGAACTTTTATCATTTTGAACTTCAACTTCCATTAAATGAAGCACATGACAAAATATTATACTGGTCCTTGACCAATATTCTATCAGTCTCGTGCTAGCTATCATGGAAGAAAATTCAGAAATCATGAGCACTAAAACTTAGTACAGCTCCTCAACTTGATAGGCTAATCGATCATGCGGACTCAACTTCTGACATATCTGATGATCATTATCAACATACAATAGTTTTAAAATCAAAACTTCTAGAAAAATATATAAGAGGCTTGATTTTATCAAGTCACTTCAAAGAAAATTTGCACAATTATAACGACAATTACAAAACCCCGATGTTTTTGTATGGTGTCTTAAAATGAAAATTGCTAAAGATGTTCTGCACGACAATATTGAAAAAGAACCGGATCAAGGAAACGGATGTAGATTTGCGTTTGTGGCACTTTTGTGACATCACGATCTTCATTGAAATAACATCGAGATTCTGGCAAAAGTAGAAGTAATTAAGTGGAGTTTCTTATGACATTGTTTCCACCTGTTCTATAGTGAGACTTCTTACCCCAACTTCTATTTCATAATTCAACAACTGCCACAAACTATTGTGTCTGATTTATTTAATTCATCAATATTTATACACAATTTATGCTATAATTCACTCTTAAATTACATTGATTCGTAAATTACGTAACTAATGGTACATGTTTGCTTTACTCATATTATATTAATCCTAACACGGTTTTTAATATGCACATGAAAAACATGTGACTTGGACGAGATTTGAACTCGCACCTTCGGGATACTAGTCCGCCGCTCTACCTGTTGAGTTACCAAGCCCACAAGGATTGGAGACGAGTCAAATCTCTATTAAACTGCGTACGGACGAGAGATTCTCGCCACTATAACAGTTTACTGGATGGCACCGTGTTTCGACTTTATTCCAAAGCCATCATCAGTGTATATACATAATATATTAATATATTATTACGAGTATTTACTCGTATCAAATTACGTAGGTTGAACGCTAAACTAACATTGGTCATTACTTTCTATTTTGGCCTGTCCATTGTATGTGATTGTTATTAAAGACAAAAGTGATAAATTTCGAAAAATTTCCAAAAGAGAAAAAATATGTTATTTACCATCTTGTAAATAAATATACAGTGAAAAAACTAAACATTAGGTTTTTAAATAGTTTCTATCAACAAATTTTCTTGTCAACTGATAAATGAAACTTAAATAGAGTTCTCATTGACGTCATTGACTCATTGCGATCAGGCAAAAAAAAAACTGGCTTGTACCAATAGCAGCCTAACATTCAGTTCGATTTTTTGGAAATGACCTGAAATGCATAGAAATTAATAAGTTGGTTGACAAGGAAATTAAAATTTAAGCTAGTGACTATAATTTATTTTTCTTAATATGAAAATAATGTATTGAAAAATATTGATCTGCTGCTGTTCCTCTGTAACATATGGCATGAATGGTAAATGAAAATATAAATAATTACCTGAGCTCATCATCTCAAAAAATTAGCCAAAACATCAGAATCTCCAGAAAACAAGCCTATATAAAAATTATCAAACTACAAAATTAAGATCAGACAAAAATCTCACTCTTCTCGGAAACTTTTAAGTTTTTGTCTACAAAGATCTGACGTTGAACGAACCTCTGTGGTCGCGAAATATAAAAACATTTTTCAAGATGTATTTATAGAGAACAATTGCTTTCTCGTGTAAATTGTTTCTTTTTTGGCATTTTGAAATTCAGAAATAAATCAAGCAAGATTTGCTTTTACTATTTTTAGACACACGCTTGATAACTTTAATAAAATATTGATAGCTTACACATCTGATTGTATAAAGGTTCAATAGTTTTTGCTATTTAAAATACTATGATATTTCGTATTAATGAACATCATTTTTTGCCACAGCACTCAGTGAGATTTTCTTAAACTCCATTGTTGTATTATGTAAAATCTATAA